AAGATGGTAATCTGATGGTGCCATATCTGGAGAATATGGTGGGGGGGGAGAACTTCCCAACCCAACTCCATAATATTGTGGATGTGCATTGTAGTGGAGAAGAACAACACCTTTCCGACTGACGAGTGCAGGGCGTTTCTGATGAAGGGCTTGATTTAAATGTTCCAGTTGCTGACTGCAATGACAGTTCGCTGTGGATTAAGGAGTTCGAATTTAATTACTCCTTTGATGTCCCACCAAATGCAAAGCATCACTTTCTGCGGATGGAGTCCAGGTTTTGTGGTCGGAAGTGGTTCTTGTCTAGGAATGAGCCATTGTTTTTGGCGTTTAATAATTGCATAGATAATCCATTTTTCATCGCCGGTGACAATTCTGTCCAAAACTGTTTCACGCGCATTACGCACCAAAAGAGACGAAGCAACGTTCACACGTTGGAAACGGTAATCATCGGAGAATTCGTGAAGCACCCAAACACCTTCTTTATGGAGTTTCCCATATTCCTTAAAGGTTTACGTATTGTTTCACGAGGGACATGCAATTTCCGGGCCATTTCACGAGTGTGTTGCCTTGGGTTAGACTCAACAAGCATCAATATCAATTCCAATATGTCGGCCCCTGCCATCACAGTTTATAAGGATAAAGTCACCTGAACGAAATTTGCTGAACCATCGATGACACTTACGAACGTTCAAAACATTTCCATAAACTTCTTTGGTATTCTTTGTGGCTACAGAGGAGTTGTTTCCCTACTTGTATTCAAACATCATTACATGCCGAATGTGTGTCTCGTCGTGTGCCATCACTATAAGGGATTAGAGTAAACTAAACTTTACACATTATACAGACTACACTAACGTGACGTTTAGGCGGTTCGTTTAACTATTATACGTGATGTACGTTTTTTGGAGGGTGGTTAATGAAAGTGTTCTGAAACGCGACAATATTTTCTAGTCTAGCATGGAGTTTTAGTTCAGTTTCTTACCTAAAATAACCAATAACAGTCTCTATGTGAATGTATAAATAATCAACAGGACGGGGGGGGGGAGAGAAGTAAACTAAATATGTGAAGCACGTGTACACTATCTCTAAAGAATTGTGTGTTCTAATCTAATGATTTAATGTTAGGGAAGTTCTTTAAGTGTTACAAGAATCGGGTCCCAAACCAAAATGAATAAACCTATATGCCCTTTTTTATCACATACACATATATTGTGTTTTTCAAAACGTACTGAATTTTTCAAACAAAGAATATCAGAATGTTTATCGTACAATCTTGTATTCAAAAAATAGAATAAAACTAACAATCGAAAAAAAAAAACATGGTAACGTGTAAAATAATGAAGAATATTGTAAAGTCAATTACTTAGACAGGAAATTATCTTTCCAGAACGAATCTATTCAAGCTAAATAAACTTAATTAAGTTACGGTTCTCCATAAAAGGTATTTAACCTCACAATGAAATAATCGTTAATCCTCTTGTCCCAGTGCTCTATAAGTCAGCATTCTTTGCTGCAGGACCCTTGACGTTATTATCTGGTCATCGTTACGTGATTGTTCTTAAATAATAACTTCTCTAAAGCACCAATAATCTTGCTATGTGTTCTTTCAATGTTGTATAAAGTGATTATTGTACAATGTTGTGATTAACCATATTATATGAATATTTAATATATGAAGAAGGAACAAACACACACACACACACACTACACAGCTAAAACATTTATTGTACTTTTAAGTACACGTGGCGTATATGCTAGTATATTTAACTTACAATAAGATTTCTAGACATGAATTAGATTGCACAGGAACGATAAGCTCAGTCACTATAATCTGGGTGAGAAATCACGATCGGGAATGTTGACCGTTCTCTGTATAAACTAAATAATTATTTTTCGATTTTTTGACGAGACTTCTACTCAGTTTTTGGTGCAGGATCTTACAGACGCTCTTACATAAAATAAATATACAAATAAATTTCATCACATAATTATTTCTTACATATACAATAAACTTTAAGCACATAATTACGAACGCACGTATATGGTACAGTATATTGCTTCTAGGCTTACGAGACTTAGGTTTGCTTCTTACACGCCAGAATGGTCAATTTCTTCAGAGATCGGACCAAACTTTGGTACACGGCTCTGAAACCGCTGGACAAGGGAATCTACGGGCGAAGGAAAAAACAGGGGTCGACCATACCCCGGAACTGACGGGCGGACTGGACAAGCCAGCATAGTAGCTGCAGAAAATGACTGACCGGTCGTCCAGACGGTTGGGACAGAGAGTGCCAACCCTCCTAGAGATGAAACAGACATCTGAGGCTGGAACTGCCCTTTTCCATCCTCTCGTTGTTCCATTGTAGGTTTTCTATTTTCATGATCATTCTCACCCTGGTCGGGAGCTAACAGACTTTCTACATCGAACAGCCTTTTTCTAGTATGACAGTTGACCGTTTCTGTGCTAACTTTTTCTTCTCCAGAACTGACCATAGCTCTGTCGGGTCTAGGGCTGACCTCTGGTGGAGGTGTAGGACTCGGACTGTCGTCTTCTTCCGGTACAGCCAATCCTAAATGTCGACGGACCTTTCGTTGTGCCTTACGACGTCGAAAGTCCCCCTTTTTGAAGTCTTCCATGTTGGCTGGGTGAATGGCCCAATAGTGACCTTTTCCGTTAGCACTGCGTCCAGCTTTTATGAAGCAGTCGTTGAGAGAGAGATTGTGGCGGATGCTATTTCTCCAGCCGGGCCCTCGGTTTCGAAAGTAGGGATAGTTGTCCAGTATGTACTGATAGATGTCACTCAGTACCATTTTCTTCTCATTTGAACTCAATATGGCTTTTGCGATCAGGCCGATATAAGAATGTTGAGGTTTGGGGTCCTCGTGTAACAGACGAGTGCGGGGGTCAAAGCGAACAAAGGGCGAGAGACCATAAGGGAGAGGTGGCTGAGCATCACTATACGGGCTCAATGAGTATGCTGGAACAAAAGCTGGATGAGAGAACCGAAATCTGCTGGCTACTTGAGCGTAGTCATACAGTTGAAGCCGGTGATACTCGACGAGTGCCGCAGGGCTCAGTTGGACCAAAGACGAGCCTGGAGCCGTCGAGGTGTACGGAGAGTCGCGACTGTTGGTACACAAGTTAGCCATGGTCTCTACAAACTGTTTACTGCTTGATAACTGCATGTGGTATGTTTAGAGTAGTCTGTTTACCTGTCTGTTTCATCAAGGCGGGGTACCATCATGTTTCTCCACACTGTTTACCAACGTTTTCTTCCACTACAGAATTTGGTCTTATTGGTCGACAGCGTTTCACGCCCACAGATAGCTGTAAGTAGCCTGTTCAGAATGAAGGCGTGGCTCCCACGGTCGGTTGGACAAGAGGCACGTGCGAAGACGATGGTGGCGCGTGCCACTTACTAAGAACGCAATGATCAAAGTCTGTAAACGACCGCTGAAAAGGAGATCTGTAGAATTGTGGAACAAGTAAGTGATCAGAAATTTGATGAATTAGGCAGTAACTGGTATTTTGGCAGATCAATAATGGATAGGGATATTAGGGACATTTTTGAAGCATAACTTAGTAGAGAACAATATAACTTAATATTTGTAACAAGCTTATTGTAAAGACAAAACATTTCTTAGTTTAATTACACTATAGATTGATAGCTTTTGAGACTGACGAAAGCCAAAACGTTTGGACTTTGTAATTTTTGTTCGAAAGTATTTAATTTGATATAAAATAAATACATTACTTGCTCTGTTTATCTACTGGAATATGTTCTTGGTGTCATCAGAGTAGTTACAGATCTTAGTTTTTTGTTTTTTGCTAGTCTTCTATTACTAACTAACAAACAATGATTTATAACTTTAAACAAAATCTCTTACTCAGCTTATAATATGTCTACTATAAGCCCATCGTCTATTCAGTACTTAATGATATTATAATATTTTAATCTTTTAACATTAAGTTACTCATAAGAGTTGTTTAAAGGTTATTCTTCGCTGACTTGTTTTTATAACGTTCACTACATTGCATCGTATTAGGAACTTTTATGTTTTTTTTTGTATGTCTCAAGAACCGCTGTAACGAAATGACAAAAATCTGAGTCAAATTCATTCATTTTCTATGTAAAACATGGGCGTGGGAAACAATAGAATATTTATCAGGATCACAATCTCAAGTGTGTTTGTGTGGTGGTGGTGGTCGAGGTGAAGCGGGAGGTTGATTGGTGATTGTTAAATAAACCCAAGTACAGGTATACACGAAAAATGAAGTTGTTACTCGGATTACAGCACGATTAAGCCAGTTCCTACGATTAAGCACGATTAAGCCAGTAGGTTCCTACGACTATTATGTAAAATATAGAGAAATCCCTAGTAGTAATTGGTGGAATTAATTGCAATACCGATATTATTTTTGTTTACATTTGTCTTGCGGCTTGATATTTGGGATCTTGTAACCAACAAAGTGATAGACCCATAAACAAATTGATGCATGAATAGTATATAAAAGTGTGTTTCAAAATTCGATGAGGGTCTGTACCTCATTAGCAATTCTATTAAAAATATATAAGGCTAATGACGTTATGAAACAATTTTCCGGACATGACAAGTTGTTTACTTGTACTGTATCAAAACCAGAACCAACGTTATATGCAACTCTAAAAGATATGAATGTATCTTTGTTTTAGGAAGCCACCACAATGTGTTTTCAAATGAGTTTGATCTAATAAATTATTTTAATTATGTCATAGTTACTGTATTATTTTATAGTTTTATTAAGTACATAATTCACTGTTTTTAGCGTTCGTCACAGATTTATTTACACTCCACATAATAGCTTTCAAATCTTATTGAAATTTTAAGGTTGACACTTCGTTCTAAGAAGTATTTTTTTTTTCAGTTGAAAAGTAACTCAGATTGTATGAGATATGAACCTGCGACTCTAATTAGCGGGATGATGCTTTAACCGACAAAGCTACCGCGTCGCGAGCACACAGCTATTGTAATTTTTCACTCCACTGGTTATTACGGGCGGAATTTTAGAACAATCTCAACGTTCCCTCCTTCAGAAGAATGCTATAACATTGATATCTGAACTGGTATTCATATACTTCAGAATTGTATATATATATTTGATTTATTTGTGTTGACTCAAGTACATAATCTTCAAAGATCATGAAGATGACATGCACGTTTGTTTGCCACACGTGGTTCTTATAAAAAAGCAGTATTTTCAATATTCAGACTATGGTGATACTTAAGTACTAGAAAATTACTTAGATTAATTGATAATATGCAAAATACATGGTGATTAACTGACCTTTAATTATAGAAAGTGCACAGTAATGCATTTAAATTATCCTAATTTTAAGTACCAAGGCAAGTTTAAAAATTCAAAGGTCAAACAAGATTCAGCGTCCAAAACTGTATACTCAACTGGGAATTTGATTCAATATTCAGACTAAATGATAACTAGGTGTAACTTTAAATTTCACAAATGTACATTAACAGTGAACCTAGGCCTCCAAAAGCTGGAAAAAAAAAGACGCTATGTGGTAATAAATAAAATAAAATATATTTTTATTAACGAAAATCTCGTTAATAACATAAGTAATTTTTTTTCTATAGATTTGAAACTGTGGGTCTTATTTTGGGTAATGACATTTTTAAGTGAAAATTTTGTGAAAGGAGTTACGAAAACAACATTTTTTTTTTACCTTTTGTTCAGCAACTATGTCTCAGCGGTAAGCTTCAGCTTATAACGCTCTTACTCGGGGTTCAGTTCTCGCAGTGGGCACTGTGCAGGTTGTATAGATAGGTAAGTTTGCGTTAAAACAAGAAAGCCTTGACAAGTGCTTCCCTAAATTATCGTCTGTTTGTTGTTGAGTGCAACATTGCACAACTGAATACATATGTTATGCTGTGTCAAACGGCTCCACAGAGACCGAACCCCGAAGTTGAGCGTTATAAACCCTTTTAATCATGTTTTTCGTGTCTTCAATCAACACGACTTGGAAACTTGATCAATTTTAACGCGTCTTTTTCTTGTTTTATACACTTCTCAACTTAACCACAGTTAACCCACTTTATTGTCTACTAATTTTAGTTTGTTAATACAGTTTAGCTGTCATATCTATTTATTATGTGATAAAACTCCCATAACTGGTCTATATTTACTAAATTCTGCAATTTTCATTTAGATTTATAACAGTAATATCTATTCTTAACATACTTATTAAAAAGTATTGGTTAGTTGAAATAGCACAACCATTAAAGTACATGTCAACGATATTTTAACAGAGCTTAATTAAGTGACCCTGCTATGACGTTTGTGCAGTTAATCTCCACACAAACTATATAATTTAGAAAGAAAAACTAGTGTTTCAGAATGGTCACTCCAGGAATAGGAACACGCTTCACCACTTAAAGGTTCTCTCTATAGACAATTGGATTTCTTTCTATGGTTGTATTGTGTGAAAGAGCTTCTATTGGAAAGTGAGGACAACATGCCGAAGGTGTCTACATTTACTGCCGCCCATTTAGTTGGTTTCCGCTCATGCCCCATGCGATTTCTATGAGACGATCAAGTGCCATTTCAACCCGCAATTATATTGTGAACTTAGCAGTAAGGTTTGCCAAACTCTGGTGGTTACGCCTTACAGTATTTTACGTTAGGCATTAAAGTGTTTTGAGTACGACATTACAACGCTTTTGAGTATGACATTACAACGTTTCTGAGTACGACATTACAAAGCTTTTGAGTACGACATTAAAAGGCTTTTTGGTAAGGAATTACAGTATTTTGAAAACAACATCTTTTGAGTATGACATTACAACGTTTCTGAGTACGACATTACAACGCTTTTGAGTACGACATCAAAAGGCTTTTTGGTAAGGAATTACAGTCTTTTGAAAACAACATATTTTGAGTATCCATTAGTAAGTTGAACTAAAGAGTATCCAGCAAAGGATGAGTTAAAATTTAATTGACGTACTGTTGAATTATATTTACCCAAAATAAGTAACATGTTTAACTTAAAAATCACTTTTCCTTTCCTAAAAACAGAGAATAAAGTTGATTTAAATGATCCCCAAACCGATTTCAGTAACTCAAAGTAGCTTTAAAATCCTATTTTAATATGCTCACCCAATAATATACAGTATTTCACTTCTGTTGTAAAACGCCTTATAGATATTGAAACACGTTATTTAGTAGCAGTGATATTATACATAATTTTAGTTTACGTTTACATACTTACACGGTTTAAACTTATATGTGTTTTGTTACAAAACTTCAAATATATATGCACGTCACGACAGTGCATTACCATATGTATGTATATATATATATATATACACACGCACACACATTCGTTATCTTAACGCCTCATTTTCTTCGTGCGCAATCTCTTTTGTATGTATGTTGTTATATAATACTTCAGTTTCAAAAAATGCTCCTAATTTTGAAGTGATAGACAAGAGGGAAGGCGGCCAGTCAACACCACCTACGGCCACAAATTGTGGAGCGTGAGGTTTTAGCGTTAATGGGACACGAACCACGGAATCTCAGCTCCACAGACCGGCATGCCAAACACTTAGCCGCGCTCGGCTTCCTTATTGTTATGTATTATTATTATTACGCACGACTTCATTCTTTACAGATGGCATTTCAAGGATGCCTTTAGTTAAATATTTAAATGGTCATTGGACTTCAATAAATACATGTACATATGCAAGTAAACTAGGTTTTAGTCTGTTTTCTGTCATCGCTGGTTTGTAGCATAGCGGTCTAACGTTTTCAAACGATTTCATGTATCGTCAGTCAAAAACTACATTTTCGCAGTAAATGGCATGTCAGAACAAAGAAAAGTACATAGCTCGTTACCTGCTTTTAAAACTGGATAGCATACTAAGTTGTTAATTTCAAACAGACATTAGTGTAGAAACCTATCTGGTTTACGAATTGGCTAAAATTTTGGCTTTTATGGACATCTCATTCGGGTTTATTAATATCGTCACCAAAGAACCACCCTCACCACCATAAACTTTCGGTAAAACCGTTTTGTAATAAAGCTGTTCAAAAATGAAACCTGCTGCGTTTTTCTTTTATCTGACATGGTCAGGTGGTTAAGGCACGTGACTCG